AAAAACGATGAGAGAACAATCCATCTGGATCCCTGTGACTACAAGGGTTACACACACACGCCTCCCCGAGGGGAGGCGAAAAGCTAAGGTAAGGGCCAATGTGCACGTGTGCGCGCACAAGACAAAAGAATGAAGACATGACAAGAGGACAAGACGGGACAAAGGTGCGTGTGGTTGAAATGAAAGGGGAAAGTGCACAGGGACACGCGATGAAGCCCACCTCATTGTAAAGACCTGGGCGACCTGAAACCTGTGTTTAAAGGTATGTAAAGTGCACGTACACACTAAGGCCGGGACCAATGCGCACGCAAACGAAGAAAAGGATGAGATGACCAGACATGAAGACAGGAGGACATGAAAGAAAAGAGGAAACAAAAGTATGTGAAGGGGAAGGGATGAAAGGGAACCAAATGGAGGGGACGAGAACCGATGAAACCAAACCTCATTAGAAACACCTAGGGACCTGCCTCGTTTGAGTGTGAGCGCTGTGTGTGCACCTGAGGTTGGGACAGGTTCCAATGAACCTTGAACAAACTTCGGTCGCTGACCACGTACGGCAAGCCCGAGGGCGGCCACCTCTGACCGCTGCGGTCACGTAGAGGCATGAGCCAGCTTGGAATTCCAAAGATGGGACAAAAATCATAGTTCTTTCGGCCTAGGCCACCTACACTCGCTGCGAGCTGCTCTGTATCCGGGCAATGGATACGTTCGACAAGCCCCCGTTCGACGGGTCCACGGGAGGCACTCTGCGGGCTCATCCCGGGTTGGCACGAGGCCAAACACACTTATGGATACGCATACGGAACTGATAGCGGTGCCACACGCCAGCCTAAGAAACCCAAATCCTGAAAGGTCCAGGAAAGGCCTAAAGAACCTGGGGGTCTTCACGAGGAAGTGAGGCCCAAAGCGCAAGCACCAAGCGACGAGTTCGGATCGACAAAATGACGGCGTGCGTGCACATCTGCAGAGTTCACAAGCATTAGGTACCATGTCTTTGAGGTTCTGGGCTTAGCCTCAAGCCATTGGAAAATCGCAGGTACGTCGGAGTGGCCAACTCCGATATCACCAGATCAAATAATGGGCGTCTTCCTTGGTAGCGGTCCCAAATGATCTGCCGCTACCCCCTGCTGGAAAACAAATGCCGAAAAACGATGAGAGAACAATCCATCTGGATCCCTGTGACTGCAAGGGTTACACACACACACTTAGGATAGGGTGTACTGAACTGAAAGCGGTGCCACACGCCAGCTTAGGTTACCATTTCCTAAGAATAAAAGTGAGAACCAACGGATCCTGGAGGTCTTCACAAGGAGAAGTGGCCCAAAGCGGAAGAAGCCAATCGACGATCACGGGTCGAACAAGATGACGGCGGGCCGTGCGTGACTGCCAATGCATTAGCCCTTTGCCAAAGGTTAAAAATTGTGCAGGTACAAGGTTGATCAGACCACTCATCCATCGAAATCGAAATGCCATAGCTTCGTTGGACTGGATAGGCAAGTCGGCTCGAGTCCCCCTGCTTAAAAGAAAAAGAAGGAAGAGTCAGCATACATTACAAACGGACCCCTGTGATTACAATGGGCACACACACACGCCTCCCCAAGGGGAGGCAAAAATTAAGGCTAGCGGCTAGCACGAATGTGCAAATGTGCGCGCAGCAAAGACAAAGGATGAAGACATGAGAAAGAGGACGAGACGGGACAAAAGGATGTGTGGTTGCGATGAAAGAGAAACCAAGTGCACAGGGACAACCGATGAACCCCACCTCATTGTCGAGACCTGGGCGACCTAAAACCTGAGTTTAAAAGTAGATGTGCACGTACAAGCTAAGGCCCGGACCGTTGTGCGCGCAATAGAAAGAAAGGAGCGAGATGAAAGGACATGAAGCAAGGGAAGACATGAAAAGAAAGAAGGAAAAGAAGTGTGTGAAGGGAAAAGGATGAAAAGGGGAACCAAATGGAGGGGACGGGAACCGATGAAACCAGACCTCATTACAACGACCTAGGAAGACCTGCCTCGTTTAAGTGTGCACAATGTGTGTGCACCTGAGAATCCGACAGGTTCCAATGAGCCTTGAACAAGCTTTGGTCGCTGCGACCACGTACGGCCTGCCCGAGGGCTGCCACCTTTGACCGCTGCGGTCACGTAAAGGCATGAGCCAGCTTGGAGTTCAAAAATCCGACAAATCTTGGCAAATGACTTTGGCTTAAGCCTCCTGCTGTCCGCTTCGGACACCTACGTTCCCAGGCAGGGGGAACAACGACAAACCCCCGTTCAACGGGTTGACGGGAGGCCTCTTCGGGTTCATCCCGGGCTCTCACTAGGAGTGCCAGACGGCAGCGTAGGTTACCATTTCCTAAGAATAAAAGTGAGAACCAACGGATCCTGGAGGTCTTCAAAAGGAGAAGTGGCCCAAAACGGAAGAAGCCAATCGACGATCACGGGTCGAACAAGATGACGGCGGGCCGTGCGTGACTGCCAATGCATTAGCCCTTTACCAAAGGTTAAAAATTGTGCAGGTACAAGTGGTTGATCAGACCACTCATCCACCGAAATGCCATAGCTTCGTTGGACTGGATAGGCAAATCGGCTCCAGTCCCCCTGCTTAAAAGAAAAAGAAGGAAGAGTCAAGCATACATTCCAGACGGATCCCTGTGATTACAAGGGGCACACACACAAATGAGATCAACACGTGGGGTCAACGTGCAGTCCTCCAATTCCTGTTGGAAGACTCACCCAGCTTCCCCAACCCAAAGACAACCCCCTCAACCTTGTTTGAGAACGGCAACCTTGTCAATGCGACTCCCTTGGGCGCCCCAAAACGTGTCCAGCAAGTTGCTGATCTGAAAATCTTTGGCGAGCTCCTGAAATGCTGAAGTTGGCCACTTGGACAAAGGAACCCAGCCATCTCCAGAACTACTCTTGATGCTTCAAGTTATCATGGCTTGACGCAAAGATTAGAAAAACTATCCAAAGACTATCATGGCTTTAATCTGCACTTTGCACTTTCGAAGCACGGTGCGTGGTGCGTGCAGGTCTGTGGAGAACGTGCAGTCTGCTCTCCTTGGTGATCAGGGTCTTGAAGCGCCGTGGAAAGAGGTAGGAGTACCTCGACTTGGGAAGGCCGCTTGGGTGCCCGCAAGTGCCCGTGGCAACTGGTACTCGCAGCAAGCTTGGGGGTCTCACCAAAGCCAGTTGTGGTGAAAAAAGGCACAACTCCTGTCTCCGAAATTCAATAAACCAAGGAGATAGAAAAGGAACCAACTTTGTTTTGAGCCACGGACATGATGCAATGTTTGTGGCAAATCTTCCAAAGGAACTTGAGAGCATCGATTCGCTTCGCGTGCTTCACAACAGAGACCGCTTCGCACAAGATTTACTTTCCCCATGAAGCGCTCATTTGAGACACATCGCTGGAACTGCGTTTTGGACCAAGCGCATCAAACCATTCACCACTTCAGAGAACCTCCACAAGTATCTGCAAATGCCCATCCATAGCCCCAAGGCGCGCCGGATGGGATCTACCAAAAAGAATATGATGCAAGAAATGCATTGGCATTAACAATACATTTCGTGCATCATCAAGCAGCAAAATGCTCAAATACTTTGGGCAAAGAAAGGGCACAAGACCGAACGGTCCAAGAGCTTGGCAAAAAGCCCCTTCTCCAGGTCGTTGAACTTCTCTGCAACCACCTCGATCTTCATGTCCTTCGCAAGGAAAAAAGAAGAAAAGCGGCGAATCTGAAGAGATTCAGCAAAGAAACCTTGGATCTATCCACATTGGCCTTCAACCACTTCTTCTCATTGGCCTTCACATCAGCAAGAATCGATGCAACCGAGAGGAAATATCTACAGAGACCCAGAATCCTGTCGCCCAGTGGAGAAGGCAATTCCATCTTCCCCCGAAAGCCGGAGACTGTTGGACATCGAGACTTGGGGATGAGGCCGAAAACAGAGCATGATGCGTGAGGCATTCTTTAGCTCGGTTCCGGCGAACCATGGTTGAGGTCCTGTCGTTTCAGCAGAAACCACTCCCCACCCCCCAAATGTCCCCATTCACGACTCCAATGTCCAAGCATCGAAGCTTCCAAGGTCAATCAGAATGGCACCCCCGTTGAGCATGGAATTCCTGAGTGCTTCAAAAGGATCAAACCTGAACAAGCTACAAGCTGCCTCAAAAAACACAGGTGCACAGGTCCTGTAGGTCCGATAGGTCCGGTGCCTGCCGGCTCTTTATCCAACGACACCTGCAGAACACCTGCAGAAGACTCTAAGCTGCTTGTTTGGTGTATTGAACAAGCTTTGATGAATATTCTGTTCTTCTCCAAACAAACCAACCTCAGCCTAGTTACCTAGTTTCTCTGAAACTGGACTGAATGTCCTCCCCTGCCTCCTTTGCGCTTCTGTTTGGGTGAAGAAACCGTTCTTCGTAAAGTTTCATCTCCCCAAATATTCTCCACCAGGAAGAGCTTTCTCTCTCTCTCTCTCTCTCGCTCGTTCCAGCCTTGTCAGGTGAATGTAACATGTGTTTTGGCAAGCGTTCCTGTAGACATGTCAGAGAACTTAGCTGGTTGGTGGTTGGATGTTCTTGGGCAATGCAACTTCCCCTATAAAAGCTGACAAATTTCTTTGGAGGGCCCTTTCACATGTCAAGGCCCCATCAAGCAACAGTCAACCTGAAACCCTGGCGTGCATCAAGTCGAAAGTAAACACACCAAAAGAACTCGTGCTCCCAAAAAGGAAGTGTCTCTATCATCAACCAATCAAGTAACCCGCTACCACAATCGGAGATGACTTAATGCGAATCCTATTGACTCCAAGATGACTTCGCTACAAATCCAGCCCGATGCCTTGCACTGCCAAGCTTCAACAAGGCCCGGCGCAAACGCATCGATTCCATGTCCTGTGTCAGCTGCTTCAAAGGCTTTGGTAGACATGTGGGCCACAGTCCGGAAACATGTGGGACGCAGTGAAGCGAAGCAAGCGGATTCATCTTGAAGCTTTCGCTTTATAACAAGGTGCTTCTTGAAGCTTGCTATACAACACGGAACACTCCGGGTTGAAGGCCATCGCTGGTAGGTTGGACCCGCTCCTGAAGTTCCACGATGGTGTAGACCTCAAACTTACACAAACACAGCTGAAGAATGTCGGGGCTACAGAGCAGGCAGCGGCTCACCATTGCGAACTCAACAAACAAGCAAACCGTAACAAACCCAACAAGAGTTAGAGTCGTTCGCTTATGAAGTCAGCCGGTACTTGCCAGGAATGGCTGATCCATCCTCCTGGTCGTGGAATCGACCACGGGCCCAAGTCTGAACGTCCTTCTGTCATCATGAGCCATGAGCGAGCTGAATAGAAAGGACAAGGCGAATCGCCTTTCACGTCGAATTCCCGTGGACGTAAACCAATGGACCGGGAAAAACCAAGGCGCAGGTGAGTTTCCCATCCTACCCGGTCCTACCCCTACCCCTTTTCGTGCGGGTCCAAAGGCCCAAAGAAAACCGCGCAAACGGACGCAGATATGTCGATCAAAAGAATGTCAATTTGCTCGTGTACTACCTACGGTAGTGTACCAAGTACAAGTTGAAAATGCAAGTTATACCGTACGAATTGTTGATTCGCAGTGACTGTCCTGTGAGTGCAGTGATGATGTGAAAATGATGGGTGGTGATTGCTGAGAGGATGTAATTTTAGGTGTAACATAATATGGTGATCTGAAATGCTGAACATTAATCTCTACGTTTCTCGAGTTTTTCTCTGGAAATCTCCACTTGTCTCGGGAGTCCACAGGCACCAGTGGAACAGCCCCAGGAAGACGGGGGCTGGGTGCCGTGTCGTGGACTCTGCAGAGTCTATCGGATCTATCGGCAAGGTATCTTTCGCACAGTCTGGGGATTGTTGGTTGTTCTAGGTCCTATATACTAGGTTCTGATGTTTGGCTATATCTTTATAATTGAGAGAACACAATTCTACGAGACAAAACAAAAGAGATGCACATGACTTGGAGTACTTATCTTACTGTGACCTCGTCATTTGCCTCTGAAAACCTATGGGGGTCCTTTCAACACCCGTGTCCCCCCTTTTTACCCTTCATCTGAGGAACGGCAGCACCTGTGTACTTGATAAAGGTTGAGGTGCGACCAGAAGGATCCACCACAAATGGCCACCGTCCATCTTGCCTCAGCCAGCTCACTTGGACGCCGTGCGTCAAGCATCGCCTTCGGAACTCTGAGATCGACGGTGACCTATATACATCTTGATGGACACGGAACTCACTGAGATTAATCAAATGTCACCAGCTGTGATGTCCAGGGGAGGGACCCCCATTGGAGATGTGGTAGCTTGTGAGCAACAGTGGAATGAAACATCGACTGAAAACCGCTCGAAACAGCGCCACCGCTCGAAACGCCCGACGCATGAACACGGGGGAAAGCGCCATACCGCAACGGGTGAAAGCAGGCGTGAACACGGGGGTTTCGACATGGTGTCACTCTCGCCACGTGAACACGGCCGGTGGCCACGTCTTCGTGTCTCAAACTGTCGAGACTGACAGTGAACCGTCACAGGTGCGAAGGGCGATCAAGAGGTTCTGAAAACACCTGCCACACCATTCCGCCCAAGCCGCGCTCTCAGGCCGCCCACGTCTTTCAGAAGCACATCCTCAGAGTAGGCGTGTTGATTGGATTTGGTAAGATCATGGGCAAGGGATGTACCACTCAAAGCTCCACGATTTCCACCATCGATTTGAATGCCAGATGTCTTTACCTCATTCGCTTGGTTGAATATGATGGCCTGCCAGAGGGGGTTGTCATTTGTCGCAACACTTTCACTTCCTACTTGGTCCTGCCCTGATCCGCCTTACAACCAAGGCTCTGCAATCGCCTTGATTGGAATGACTCGGTTGAAGCCTCACGAAAGAGACCAGCCCTTGATGGCAGCCTTTGGGAGAACCTTGCGTGATACATCAAAATACAGCCGCTCTGATATATCAAGAGCCAGTCTTTGAAGCCTTTGAAGATGGAGGCCTGGTTCCGTCAACAAAGGCGCTGTGCTTTCGCCGGACCCGACGTGCCCAGGCCTCGGGCAAAGCCCAGAGTGATGGGGAAGGGAGGCTCTTCGTTCTCGGCTCCTGAACATGACTGGAAATGGATTCCTCTCAGTACTCGGTGCCTTGAAAAAAAGCTTCATCACTTGGTACTTTAGTCACTAGATATCAAGACAATAGATTTGCCAAACGCCCCAAGGATGAGGGATGTTGTCGCTGGGGCCCATCGAAGCAAGGGCCCTGTCCAAGGATTCTCTTTCACTGACTCACAAGAAGCAAATGAGCGGAACGTGAACATGTCATCATTGCTAGCCCTGATGCTCCAGCCAGCGACTGTCTGGAAAGATGCGAGTGAATGATCCTGTCCTTCCTCAGTTTCCTCAGGCTCTGCCGGCAGCCGACCATAAGTCTCCAAGAAGTTCTTGTTAAATTCACCTTGGTCTCATTGACCACCAAACATGTTAACCGTGTACAAGTTCAAGTCAGTGACTTACAAAATATCTTAAAGCCTGGAAAACACCAGCGATCCAGCTTTGTCATGAAAAGCGTCACATGTTACAAGCCTGAAACATGCTTGTATCTTCTTACCTGATGTGCCATCGACAAAGCTCAACACTCACAGAAATATACAGAAACACCATGCCACCTTTGGCAGCAAAACATAAAGCAGTTGAATACAGTGATCCCCAGGCCAAACCTCTTTGCCCGCACTTCCCACAGCCCTCAAACCGCCAACCGGCCAAAGCACTGGCTTTCAGGTGCTTGAAGGCACCTTCTCGGATCAGGGAGTCCCCCGAAACTAAGTCCACATCCTTCCAGGAGAAGTCTTCCACCGCCTGACAAAAAAAATAAAAAAGCAAACAAAAAAGAAAACGGCTGCACCTCGTGGCCGCGTCGAAACTCGACCCCTTCCCTTGTGGCCCTTGTGGCCCACGACGTGTCTTCTGTCGTTTCGACTCGGTCAAAGAACGGACGTCGTCCCTGCGTCCGTCGAGTCTTCGTCATCTTCCCACCTCCAGGGATTTGTTGAGGCGAGGCAGTAAGAAGTCCAGATCTTCCAAGCTTTCGCAGCTGACTTGCACCCGGAAGCCACGAAACTTCCCCGCCGCCTTGGCCTCCTTCTCCTCGGCGACTTTGCGGCGTTCTTACGGCCAGTGGTTCTTGCATGGACACGTGGCGGAAAGTTTCAATAGGTGAGTTTACTACGCGTCCTTCTTCAGATTGAATGTGAGCATCTTCGTGTGTTTCTCCCTTCGCCTCTCCTTCTTGGCCTGCTCCAAATCGCTCATCTTGAGACGTGCACGTGAGGACTTCCACTCCCACTCTTGCACTGACGCTTCAAACAGCTTCACGGAGGCCTTGAAAGCTTAACAACCGACCTAGTGACACAGAACAGTGGCACAATGCTGACATCCCCAAAAGAACTGGCACATCATTCTGCCAAATAGGTAGACTACAAACATCTACAAGCCAATGTGCACTTGTTGATCGACCTTTCGATGGTGCAATTTTGTTTGTTCCTAGTAGCGTCCTTGTTACTACTAGTAAGGCACTTGTTACTAGAAGCGATGCACTTGTTACTAATAGCTTTGGGTCATGCAATCACCAAGTTCACCAAGTACCGAGAGACCTCCGCACCCTCAATCAGCGGCTCCAACTCAGCGATCTTTTCGGCTGCACCTGCGTGGCTTCATTGACGGTGTTCATTGCTTCCTTTCTGGATCAGTTCGCTGAATAGGTTCTGTTTAAACTAGAAGCAATGGCCTCCAGCCAATTGGAGCTTGGAACCTCTGGATTTGGTGAAGAACATACCCTGAGGTGGCCAGCCAGGAATCCGAGGCATCCTCCACCTCAATTCGAGGGGGGTGGGCCCTTTGTTGTCCTCGCCATCGCCATCAGGTCCACCCCACCTTGCTCGGCAAAGGACACCTTCTGCTGCCGATAATCTGCCAGCAGCTTTCGTGCACGGACCAGCTCACTTCCTTAGCAAACTTATGGAAGAATCGTAGTTTCCCTCTTGAAACCTGGGGGAGAAAGTGTGATTGATACTCCCATTAGAGAGGTCAAAAAAGCTCAGACACAAACCACACCCTTTTTCTCGTCCACCTACTGAGCGAGCGTGAGTTCCGGTCTCTGTAGCACTCTGTGCGCACACCGAGCGTCGGGAGACCTGCCTCTTGCGCTCGGCTTCCTCCAGCGAGTCCTTGGCCGAAAGGTACCGAGATAGGCTCTCTGTGGAAAACAGGGCCGCAACTGCAACCAACTTGGGACCACAGAATTGAACTTGGAGCGGCAGGCAATTCAGGCCGGTTGTTTGTGGGTCGTCAAGTCATCAAGTTATTACAACTACAAAGGCACCCGCCACAGGTGGAGTGAGGTTCGTTGCACAATTTTTGGCCGAAAACACACACGAAATGACAATGTCCATCGTTTTAAGGTCTGACCAAAATAATGTGTTTTCTGATTCATGTAACTGCCACGATCTTTTTAGATGGAGCAGAGGTCTCAGACTTGACAGATCTTCGCAAGCGCTTGCAGCCAGTCTTGACCAAATCTGCAACATTGAACGATCGAGGAGGTGTTCGTTCCAGCGCTTGAGACATGTTGGTCCCAAGCGAAGCTGCAGAGAACACGCTCAGAATTCTCACCTCTTGAATCTCGAGACCACAATCAGTCTGGTTTCGCGACCACATCCCATGTGTTTGCACGGTTAGTCCAACCACCCGCCCACCCACCTACCCACCTCTCCCCGGTGAAAGTCATTGGCTTCTACAACGTAGTCCAAATTGTAAAAATCTGCAAAGTAGCCGGAGGAAACCTGTGGCGTGCCCAGGAACTACAACTATTTAAAACACCAGTGAAGCATTTCAACAGGACCCAACAACTCTTCTTTCTCGCGTAGCCTCATGAACTTGTCACAACAACTCTCGCCCATGCCGGCGGGTCAGATCACAGGGCCTGGAAAAGAATAATACATATATATATATATGAAATGGCCGGAGCATGGCCGAGCATCCGACAGCTCCTGCTGCTGTCGCTGAAACTTCGCCTTCCTGGGTTCCAGTTGTAGCAGGTCGCGACGAAACTGGCTCATGTTGCGCTGTGAGGGGGTAGCAGGTCATGTTGAGCAACATGTAAATGTAGCTCCAGCACAAATCCCCCAAAGACTCTAAAGACTCTGCAAGTTCCATGTGTCCTTCCCTTTCATCAATTTCTGGATCAAACATCTTGAGCTACACCGATCGAGCAGGGCGGGCGCTCTCAGAGCCGCGCTGGGCACTCGCCCCGCCACCGAGCGTCTCTTCTTTCTCCGCGTTCTTGGCGGCTTTCCTCTTGTCCTCCTTGATTCGATCTGTTGAGGAGGGATCCCAGGTCACAAGGAACTCCCGCGACTCAGCGTTGCTCGCCACGTCGATGGGTCTGGCTCCTCGGGGTCCGAGCCAAAAAACGGACCAGTCCGGGCAATGGGAAACCGCAGCACTCAACGGATTCGATGGTGGCTTCCAGGGTAAATGGCGCATCGGTATTCCTTCACGAGGTGAGTACCGTTCTTCTTTCTCTATTGTATGACATTGCAGGAACTCCGCGTTTAGGATTCACGATAAATGCCTTTTTGCATCCAAAATGTGGAAGATTTGGACATAGTTCAGCAAGAATCCTTTGGAGATGCTGCGAGTCTTGGTGGATTTACTGAACTCCGTAGGCCCTCCGCCTAAGAACAGAGATATTCCCCGGCAAAATGAAGGACAACTGAAATGGACGACAGCTGGACCCTTCTGTCAAAATTCACAACACCCCATGTCAAACCACACAATCATCCTGGAAGACAGAGAATATCAAACAATCAAGCAAAAGAATAGTACTAAGTTTGTGATTTTGCTTGTTTTATTCACCCCGCATGATCACAGGGAAAATATGATATGTGGTATGTGGTGTTATATATATATATATTAGCATATATATATATATGTGTGTCTATCATGGGACAAGGAGCCCAGGAGCACAGCATTAGATCTGTGTTTCTGCCCACCGATCCAAAGGCGGCGGAACGTCGTGCCACAAGAACCCAGCTGATGTGCTAACATCCTCGACCTGACATACACGGTTTATTGCTTTACGTGACAACGAGCAAAGAGTTCCCATGAGCAAAAATTGGTTCACCAAAGGATACCAGCGACGCACCAAGACGTTCCAACCACCCAGAGGGTGCTCGCCGTGACCGGACTTGGCCGCTTCGCTCCTTGCTCGTCACACTCCCTTGGATCGCCCCCGCTTCTCAGCAGCATGCGAATCAGCTCATGATTCCCAGCATAGGCCGCCCTCCACAAGGGAGAGCGGTGATAGCGGCCAATAGCATTGGGGTCCTCAGTCCAGCTTGGACCAACTGCCAAAGTCTATATGTAAACGCCTCTTCATAGATTGGAAGGTTCAAATTCCAAATTGATCACTACCGTGACTTCCTGACTTCACAAAGACCTTCCCAAGAAAACCGTCCGAGAGTCACACGCCTCGCCTAACAGCATTTCGACCACTTCCTGGAGCGGTTTTGAGCACCGCACAGGGGCGTACCCATGTGGTGCCTTCAAGTCAAGAGGACAAGGAGAACCCCTCACCATAGGATGCCATGGGTCGCAAATTCCCTCCATGTTGACACAAGGGCAGGCCCACAAGCACTTCAACAAGAGCACTAGGAGGCAAATTTGGACGAAACACCCTCATGCTCTCCAGGGTCAGTATTCAAATTCTATACATTGGATTTAGCATTTTGTGGGAACCTCTGTCACACCCCCTGCCAGACACCCAAAAACTCAGCCTCACCTCTGGGCTGACTTTCCAAGACTATGAACAATAAGATCCACGTTTGATGCAAGTCGCTTTGCCACTACCACCCTAAGTTAGCTTTTCACTCGCCGAAGGTCTAGGGCGACGCAACATCCCCTGCTCCACTGAACGTGGGAGCTGAAGTGGTGCATCTGAGTTCCAAAAATTCGTGTTACAAACTGACCGATCTCAGCAAACAGTTCTATTCGTGCAACAAGTACTTGAGTCCAGACCAAGACACAAGAGAAAACACTTCATGTATTCCAACAAGGAAAGATGAGACATCTACGTCCTTTGGTAGAAATGGGGTGACTGCTATTCATCGTCTCAACTAGCTTCCACTCACCTTCAAAGTCACTTACCGTCCTTGGCATTGCCAGCACATGCTTCGCTCAGCAAGGTCGTTCCATGCTCGTCCGCACACTCTGGCTCAACACCTGGAGCGTTGGAGGGTTTGCTAACCTAGTCAGACACTTTCGCACACGTTTTTCAAGTCACTCAAACAAATATGGCTCCCAAAGTTGTACTTGCAGGACCTCTGAATCCACATGGTGCAAAAGCAAGGTGAAGGAGTATTCCCTTGGTCTGTGGGACACGTGCATGTGAAAGCAAAGGAAACTAAAGAATTGATGCAGCTCGGTCCTTGATCAAAGAGCTTAAGCAAGAGATCCAGCTCATTGTCGAAGGCTGCTTCCAAGGCCTGCTCTTTCAGCTTTTTGGCTGCCGCACGCTTCTCTTCCTTCTCCTGCTTTCTCTTGGTCTCCCGCTCTGCACGCTTCCGGAGGCATTTCAGGAAGAGCTTCTCTTGTTCTGCAAGCTCCTCGAGGCAAAAACCATCTGTGGTAAAAATTTATAGAATCAATGGGACAACAAGTCAAGTCTCCAAGTAGGTTGGAGGCCATCGCTAGTAGGTTGGAGGCCATTCCTTCTGGTTCCATGGCTATTAGGTGAAAGTGAATGTACAAACGTAGCAACAAGTCAAGTCTCCTAGATGGTCCTGGATCCTAACTGAAGTGACAACATCCTTTAGGGCCCAAGGCTTAACCCAAGGTGTCTGAACCAAATCCCGCTTTCCAGATACATCCAGCTTCCCGAATCCCCAAAAAAGCAAGCAGCTGGTCGAATCCGAATGGCATCTTTCAGCAAAAGCACTATGTTCAGCTAAAAGCTTCCAGCACCCAGACCACTACTAGGAGCAAGGACGCTACTAGGGGCTCCTGGCCTTACTACTAG